TGATTCTCTTTCACTCATAGTAATCTCCTTGCGTCTTAGTGACATTATCGCCATCTTCTGTCTTCATGAACCCTGTTTCTTTATTGTTTTATCCTCACTTCTCCTCACTAAAGTCTTCTGATTCTCTTTCAATTCGATTCAATTTGCCGAAGAATATATATATATATATATATATATATATATATACTATACGAAAAAAATTTGATTTGTTTAGGGAAGATAAGAGAATAATCCAGAACCTACACTGACATCAATCCTACTGCATCCTGATATGAAAAGAATTCAGTAAATAAAGAAAAATATGTAGAGACTTAAATCAAAGCGGATTTAATCAACCTTTACAGCGAGACGATTCTGAGAAAAATGGAAGTCCTACCGGGATTTATAAATGTTGGATATAATCTTAAGAACGTAAGATATGCTAATGACACTGTGTTGATGTCATACACAGAAAGGGCACTGCAGGAACGCCCAAAGAAGAGAGTAAATGAAAGAGAGAAGAAGGGACTAATTATCAATTGTAAAGAGAGAGAATGCATAATTGCTAGCAAAAAGAACATCGTGACATGCGAATTAAAAATTGCAGATAAGAAAATCAAACAAGTACAACTATTGAAATATATGGGAAGTGTTTTAACAATGGAAAGAACATGCATTGGAGTAAAGAAAAATGTTTTCCAAAAGCTAAGCAAGTAATTAGGAAACAAAACAATTTCATTGGAAACAAAGTGTGCTGAGTGCTATGGAATATCAGTCGTCCAAAGTAGCAGTGTTTGCCTGACAATCTCCTCCCAGAGGCAGAATAGACTTGACGCAACAGAAATGTTGTTCTGTAGAAGGTTGCGAGAATACCATAGACTGATCATATGAGTAATGAGTGAGTGAATATGGAAACAGGTCATTTATACTTAGAATCAGAAAGAAACACGTGGATGTTCTATAACATATTACGAGAAAGGGATTGGCGAATATGATACTCACAGGACACATCGATGGCAAGAAAAACAGAGGAAAACTGTGAGTAAGTTTCTTTACATGCTTTTGTAAGGGGATGGCAGGATATGGAGTGGAAGGGATGATGAAAATACAAATCTTACTAAGAGCTACAAAGGATAGGAAATAGTGAAGAGCCATGATCTCCAAGTCCTGTTCAATCACAGCGCATAGAAAAAGTTGATACTTAGACAAAATTCACAACGTTATAAATTTTTCAAAAGTATTTTCTGTTTAGATTTCTGGGATGAGGAGTTATCGTCATTTACATTTGGACTAATATCCTTATTTTTGTTGTTATTATCACACTTTTTCGGCAGTTGTGACATCCGGCCTTCTTCAGTTGCAGAAAAAGCAACAGAAAAGTAACATTCAGAAAAAATATTAAATAATAACTCATATATACCTCGGAAGAAAACATAGATATCAATGCAAGTGACACTATACGCAAAGATAGAACGTTTAAAATGGTTATATTGTCACTTTTTAAAAATAATAATTGTCATTTTTTTAACTAAATTATGTAAATTCATTCTGTCGTACTTGTCTGAGACTTGGACAACTTACCGTTGTTACATAAAAGTTTCGGAGAGGTTCCTTCAAAAGGAGAATCTTGGGAACTATCTGGCAGTCTTACTCTTGACGAAGTTCGGCAGACAGGTACTTCTCGCCAGTAACCACGTTATATGTGCAGGAGACCATACAAGAATGGAAGATGAGATTAGCTAAGCAGTTATATTACGGAGTCTTGTCACATGATAAATATTCGAAACGTACACATTCACAGTTTTAACGAGGTTGTTAAGACAATTTTAAAACTCTTGTTATTTTTACTAAGCGTTGAGAAACGGTAACTGAAATCGACCTGTGTGAAGGAAAAGGATAAAAGCATTCGAGAAATGGGTTGCTCACGTAATCTTAAAACAAAATAGTAGAAAGCAATTTAGTAACTCAATCCCAAATAAACTTCAGTCTGATCATAAAATAGAACGGTTGTAGCTGATTTGCTCACTGGGCATTTACGTTCCGGACAATTGAAGACCAGGCAATTGTGTCCCTGGACAACTGAATCCCTAGACAAATGCGTCTCCGATAATTTTTAAAGATTTCAAACGCAATTATCATAAATTTTCAAAAAGAAGATGTCTTAATCATAATTTTAAAAAAAATAAAATAAAATAAAAAAGAAATTAAAAGTTTATTTTTGTTATAATACAATGTCAAATTAACATTATTTACATCTTTCGGACTATTGTACTCATCTTTGTCGGCATATTTATTACAACGTTTCGGCCGTTGCACGCTCCGGCCTTCATCAGGAGGTTGGAATCTTGAACTTAACCCTTTATTTCGCTCACTGGGGTAGACTGTTCTAGTTCCACGTGCCATGTTTAATGGATGTCAGTTATCAGTTATCTCCTGTTAATTTCCTTCTGAAAGTTCTCCACTGCCTTAACCGGGTATTGAACTCACACTGTCATTGGGTCCTGTCAATGGATCTAATCAACGCCTTTATCCACTGTGCCACAGTTGTTATATTTATGGAAGAACTGTGCTAGATATCGGAGATGATTGCTCATATGCACATGCCCACAAAATTTCCCACTAAAAAATAACTGCCAACAAAATACCATAATATACGAAGCTACGGTAAAATTCAAATAAAACCTAGAAGTGAACATATCCTAATTACAGAAGGTCTCATATGTTGACCACAAAAACTACATAAAATATCTTTACTAAAATTTATGTCAATTAGCAAACTCAGAACTAAAGAAAATTATGAAAAATATATGTCTATATAAAAAATGCGAACGACAGTGTGTCACTGTTTACGACTTTTTAAAAACTTTACTCCTAGAGGCCCTATCCCGGCATATACCATTTTGGAATCAGGCCAACTCCGGGAGAAAATTAAAACCATTCTGGTCCTCCATCAACTCCGGGAGAAAATTAAAACCATTCTGAGCCAGATCCGGACCCGCAATCCAGAAATTTGGATTCGCAAGATTTGTTTTTTGTTACGTGAATTTTAGCGACGAATTTTTTTTGTATGATAATAATTGTTATAACTTTAAAATACATATGGGAATAATCGAAATTAATTGGGAAATCCAGCAAAAGTCAGCAATGAAATAAAAATAATTGTTTGTACGGAAAGTAAGGATCTACGTACATCAAACTGTTTTTAAATTGTTTGGCTACAGGAGAATTATCGGTGAACTTTTAAAATGTAAGCTTAAATATTAATGCAATGTTTAAATGCAGCAATCAATTTTGAGCTCCTCTGTAGTTTATTGTTGCTTATGCCATCTATTCTGCCTTACCTGTATCTGTCTATCTTTCTGAGATAAGGTATTATGTACACTATTTACATTATTCGGACTATTGCCCTCATCTTTGTCGCCATATATATTACAACGTTTCGGCCTTTCAGTAACTGTCTAACTTTCTGAGATAAGGTATTATGTACACTATTTATATTATTCGGACTATTGTCCTTATTTTTGTTGTCATGTTTATTACAACGTTTCGGCCTTTCAGTATCTGTCTATATTTCTGAGATAAGGTATTATGTACACTATTTACATTATTCGGACTATTGTCCTCATCTTTGTCGCCATATTTATTACAACGTTTCGGCCTTTCAGTATCTGTCTATATTTCTGAGATGAGGTATTATGTACATTATTTACATTATTAGGACTATAGTCCTCATATTTGTCGCCATATTTATTACAACGTTTCGGCTTTTCAGTATCTGTCTATATTTCTGAGATGAGGTATTATGGACACTATTTACATTACTCGGACTATTGTCGTCATATTTGTCGCCATATTTATTACAACGTTTCGACCGTTGTACGCTCCGGCCTTCTTCAGGTGGTTGGAATCTCGAATTTAACCCTTTATTTCGCTCACTCGGGTAGACCGTTCTAATTCCATGTGCCGTGTTTAATGGATGTCAGTTATCAGTTATCTCCACTGCTTTAACTGGGTATTGAACTCACACTTTTTGAGTCTTCTCACTGGATCTAACCTTTATCCACTGTGCCATGTGGGCCTTACCAATTGTGATGAAGGCCAAAGCAAGAGCCCTCCGCAGGAGATAGCTTAAATGCTGCCCGCCCGATAGAGCGTCTTTTATGTTAGTAAAATAATAAGTTTTAAATAATAACTAACTAAATAAAAGCATGACCATAGATAACCTGTGAATGGTGCCGGATTCCTCCTTCTTTACTTCCTTTGCATCCTCAGGGACCTATATATAGAGTGTCCACTGAAGGAATAGTGATATGTGGTCTGAAGACTGCATTGAGGCGTTAAACTGGCAACCACCCTGCAAGAAATAATTCCTAGGTACACCCGATTAAGGTGTGTTGTAGGATGTGTATTATAGGCTCCTGAAAATTTTATTTTGGTTGAGCTCTCTGGGGGAGGAAGTGTGGGTTTCTAAACAGTGACTTTCACGGCTATTGTAGCAAGACTCTTCGATAAAGCGAATCGAGTCCTCTCAGTCACTGTGTGTTTATCTAAAAATAAATACGATTTAATTCACCTTCATCGCTGCCGTGCGCCAGCGACTTAGTGGTAGAATCTCTTACTGACGCCAATTCAGCTGGGATTCGAGCTAGCTAGAGGCAACCGGACGTCTAGCCACACTGAAGAGCTGTTATACAGCGAAACAGTCTGCCTGTGGATGACTATATATATATATATATATATATATATATATATATATATGGATCATCATATTTCTCTCCATTGTTTTTTTTTTTGTTAAAGACAGGTATTGTGTAGCAAGAAAGAAAGTTAAAATCTGGCCTTGAATAGAAAATCGTCAAGTGGATGCAACATTCAAAAGAGAAAAATACGGAAATGATATTTCCGCCAGCGGAAATCTTTCTGTATTGCTGCTGAAAAGTGTAGACAAAACGCTCTACCGAACACAAGACTTAATCATCGACTGATAAATCTGACAGGACATATAGACAAGTATGGGCCGACTAAGATAGGCAGATAGACATGAAAGAAATGGGACAAATACTGAGATAGATGAAGAAGATGCGAATTGACAAGGGGGGAACTGTTCTTTATTTATAGATAAATGAATGGAAATTTATTCATTTTAACTTTAAATTGTGGGGATGACGTCATAACTCAGTTAGAATAATCCTTAATGTTATTGGTCTAGACCTGGTATTCTTTTTAGTTACTTGTCCACAGTCGTAACGTAGCGCCCCTGATTATCTATAAATACTTTCAAAGTACTTGTGTTGCTGAACGTTCCGATATTTTACCTGGACTTTATGAATTCAAACGCAGTACTAGATTGGCGGCTAGGTCTCATCAACTTAAAATTGAAACGGGCAGATGCAACAATTTAAAACTTGAAATAGGCAGATAAGTTCTATGCTAACAGTTTCTTCTCATCCGTGGAACTCTCTCTTGGCTTCCTCCTTTCCATTCAACTTCAAAAAAGGTACTGACTTTTGTTTCCTCGCCTTTTATTTTTCTCTCTTCTTAATGTTTATCTTTTTTTCTTATTCTTTTGCACACAGTAATCCCTTGTGTCTTAGTGGCTTTACTGCCTTGCATGGGGTTAAATGATTACGAAAAAATGATGGATACATGGGACGAACTTGCTAGATGTTATACCATAACAAGACATCCGAACACTTAGTTTTGACCCTAAAGCGATCCTCATCCAACTGACAGAATTGATTTCTATATCCTCACTGTTTATATATGCAAATGTTCTATCCCTATATTGAGCAATCCTTCAATAAATAGACCAAACTTTAAACAACACGCGTGCCTGAGTGGTTAGAACGCTCGCTTTCTGACCACGAGCTCCTGATTCGAATCTCTCCATAGTCGAATATTCCAGGGAAGTGATTTCATGATGTTATCGACTTAGGGCGGTAACCCCAGCGCTCGGCGCTTTTTGGAAAGTGCCTGAAAACCATACAAACAGGGATGGCTTAGCCAGCCTAGGAAACGGGTGTGCTCGAAAACGAATAGCCGGCCTTCATTATTATTATTATGATTCTTGCTATAAACATTATCATGGCGGCACGTGTTTGAGTTAGATTAGCTGTTTTTTCTTAAATAGTGTTGTTTTTTTAAACAGTAATATTGATGTCTGCCAGCTTAGAGATCAAAACTCATACGAAAGAGAATGTGGATTCTGAAAAGAATTGAACGCCTATTTCCTTTTTAATCTGAGTATCCATTTTCAGACTAGGCCCAATTTACCATTAAGGCACGGGAATCTATCACTATAAATGATGTTTGGATTTGCTTAAAAGGGATCCTCAGATTAACTAGGGAATACAAGTTCGATTATTTTGAAAAAGGACAGTTTTTAGTGTGACCTTCGCTTTGTAGGCCGGTAGACATTAATATCACTGTTCATGTAACAGTGATGTTTACTCAAACAAGCGTATCTTCCAAATATAACTTTTATAGTAACAAGAAATAATATTGTATAAAAAATTCATTCCAATATGTATATATATATATATTCGACTCTCCCGTCGAATTCGACGGATGAGGGTCAAGCAGATCGGTTCCTAGGAAGCCGACAGCCCGACAACAGCACATGAGATTTGATTATAGTGATGAAGGTTTCGTGCAGGACCATCCACACTTTTTGAAGGGCCGAATACAGAGACCGATTGCACAAGGTCCCCAAACGACCCATCGCTGGTTTTTAATTCAGAGTTGTCCTTCTCCTAGACCAGTTGCCATCCAAGGCAAAAGAACCCAGTCTGTCCTGCTATTTACCGATAGCTGGAGGGAAAAGAAGAGGATTCACACATTTCCCAAGGGCATAGCTCGTAAGTGAAGGCAATGGATTCGTCTGGAATTCGAACTCGGCTCCCCGTTACCTCAATCCAAGCCATTAACCCAACGTGCCTCCTCCGTTTTTCGCACAAACTATTATATTTTAATTTTAAAAATATATATATATATATATATATATATATATATATATATATATATATATATATATATATATATATATATATATATATATATATATATGACATTGTAATAATTTTTTTACAGAGATATTATCATTGCAAAACTGGAAATTCCCATGACGACTGGATAAAAACAGAAACTTCAAATTCAATCATAAAAATTAAACTTAAAATACAAAGTTCTATTCTATTATCAAGCGATGTTAGGAACGACTTTTTAGAAACTGATTTACTTAATTTATAAATCCAGACAAATTTGATATTTTGTGATATTGGGGTTAAGGACAATTGAATCCTTTTTTTTTATTTTAGGGTTGTTAAGATGTAACTTATTTAGAAAACTCGTGTATCTAATGTATTGTAGCTATCAAGTCGGTCACGTCAAGATTGGTGCTGGGATATCTGCCCATTCATACAAACTTCCTGTTTTCAAGTAGAAATTTCTGGTTAGTGTCTATGTTTCAACAGGTCGTCTAGGTTTCAATAGCAATATATTTAGCATTTCTATTTTTATTTTTTCATTCAATTTTTACTTTATATAATTTTTTTTTCAAAAGGGGCATTCAAATATTATTTAGTCACATATTAATATTTATATTTTTATTCGTACCAACTAAAAATATTATATATATTTTATTTACTAATTGAGTACATATATGGCAGTGTTAAAATTAATATATTTGAATCTAATTATGTATTCATAAACTATTTTATTTATGATCAAATAGAAATACTTTTGTTTCATTTTATAAGATTAGCTATTACTTAAGGAAAAAATTGGCTATGTCTACAAAACCTCGCTATTTCATTTCTTTGATTTAATTAATTTTTATTTTTCAGAAATTTATTAATATTTAACTTTTCATGTATGCACAAAGGAGATGGGTCATTTAATGATCTACAAGTTTTTGTTTTTTATTAATTTTATTAATTTCCATTTTACTGTTGGTGTTTTTGTGCTCTACTGTTGTATCGAGCACTGTTTTTTAAAAATAAATACTAAGAACTCTGAATTATAAATTATTGTTCTTTTATAATTTTTAAAATATATATATATATATATATATATATATATATATATATATATATAAACATTGAGATTTTGGATTAGTTTATAATAAAATAGTTTAAACTTAAACGCAATTTCCAGGCGTTTAAGCATAAAACAGACAATTACCGCTTGGTGTTGAATCTATAACGATATAAACATATCAAGGACAGATTTCAAGGTGTGTGTATAAACAAATTGGAAAAATCTTTTTTATGTACGCGTTTCTTCTATCTATTTAAGTTCTTCATCAGATTGGGTTTGTTTACGTTAATACAAACTATTAACGCGCATGAAAGATTCATGGATCTTTTTATGTGTTTTGTGTATATAATCGAGCCAGTCATTTTTTGTTTTGTTTTGTTTCCATCAGCTTTGTTATTTAATTTCCCACATTTTGATAAGATCTGTTAAATCATTACTGTACAATAATACTGTAATGAGCTTACCTACTAACTTTGGTAATTGTTCTGATGAACTTTCGTCTATGGTAGCTAAACTTTATGAATTTAAGAGCAGTACTAGATTGGCAGCAAGGTCTTATCAATTTGCAGTTGAAATGGCTAGATGCAACCGTAAGTTCTATGCTAACAATTTCTTCTACCACATTCTTCGCTCTTCCGGCTTCTTTCTTTCCAGTCAACTTTCATATTAAAAGAATTAAATATAATCTCAATTATTATCTTCATCTTTCTTAATGCTTACAATCATCATTAAGGAGAGAGAAGCATAAAAATATAGTAATCAAGATGACAGAAGATAACGATTGGCATGGCGTTTAACTTTTTACGGTCACTCTTAACTGGAAAGAATGAAACCAGAAGAGAATATTACCATAGAACCTATGGGTATTTCGAGCCATTTCAAATAAAAAAAAATTAATGAGACCTTGCAGCCAATCTAGTACTGCGCTTAAATTCATAAAGGAGAAAAGCTCATCAGCATAATTGATATGAAAATATTTGTAGAAAAGGCATAAGAAATCTACGTTATGGCTGTGGGAAAGTGACTGTCGGCGAGATGCCAGGTCAGGACAAATAACATGGCAAATTCTTCTTTGTATCTTATCAAGTATCTCTAAATAGATAGCAGACTTTCACACCATATGTAACAGCAATATTAAATGCATGCTCGAACGGGAGATTTATAAGTGTGTTTCTGGTGCAACATTCAGTAGCAGAAAGAAGTAGATAGATCTAGTTTTTTAGACGAATGTAATCTTTCCACTTTATGTTTGAAATGTTAGCCTGGGAAGTCTCAAGGAAAGGTTTTAGAGGATAGCATCAGCCATGCTTACAATGGTTAAAGGGAAACAGTTTATGTTATATGAAGATGAGAATCTTGGTGGAAATAGATTTAGATATTTGTTATAAATATATATAAGAAAATACTGAGAAAGATAAGGAGAACGTAAACGGATTAAAATTGATAGTGAGAGAAAGGGGAGAGAGGAAAGAGAGAGAGAGGAGAGAGAAGAGAGGAGAGAAGAGAGAAACGAGAGAGAGAGGAGAGAAAGGAAAGATAGAAAGGAGAGAAAAGAGATAGAGGAGAGAAAGGAGAGAGAGGAGAGAAAGAGAGAAAGAGAGAGAGAGAGAGAGAGAGAGAAAGAGAGAAGAGGAGAGAGAGAGAGAGAAAGAGAGAGAGATAGAGAGAGAGAGAAAGAGAGAGAGAGAGAGAGAGAGAGAGAGAAGGAGAGGAGGAAAAGAGAGAGAAAGAGAAAAAGAAAGAGAGAGAGGAGAGAAAAAGAGAGAGAGAGATAGAGAGAGAGAAAGAAGGAAAGAGAGAGATAAAAGGAGAAGAGAGAGAAGAGAGAAGAGAAAGAGAGAAAGGAGAGAAAGGAGAGATTAGAGAGGAGAGATAGGAGAGAGAGAGAGAGGAGAGAGAAAAAAGAGAGAGAGAGAGAGAAAAAGAAAGAGAGAGAGGAGAGAAAATCTAGGGGGGGAGAGAGAAATAAAGAGAGAGAGAGGAGAAAAATATACAAAGAAAGGGAGAGGAGAGAAAAATTAAAAGAGAAAGGAAAGAAAGGAGAAAAAAAAAAGATTTTTTGAAAAAGAAATAGGAAGAGAAAAGAGAGGGAGAAGGAGAGAAAGAGAGAAAAGAAGAAAGATTGTTTTAAAGATTTAGAAATAGAGAAGTTTTTAAAGAGAGAGAGAGAGAAGAGAAAGAGGAGAAAACACATTGAGTTGAGAGAAATTGAAAGAGAGAGGAGAAAGTAGAGACAGATGAGCGTGAAAGAAAGGAGAAAAAAAAAATGAGAAGAGGTGGGAAATTCCAAGAGATAAAAAAAAACAGAAAGGGAATAAATAGCTTACATTCCATTATTTCCGATTTTTTCAAAAAAAAACCCCTGTCATAAATAAGATCCAATGTAGATAATTAAAATTTATTTTATAAAAAAACAAAAGGGGGGAGGGTGGAAAATGTGTTTGTGTTGTGTATGTAAATAATTTTTTAGCTTTAAAGGGTTTATATGAAAATAAGAAACAGATGATTGTTTTCTGAACGAATTAAACCTTTTTGAAATTCATAAAGCTTTTAATGTTTTGAAAACAGAATGAGACAGTTTTGATGTAGACAGAAAAGTTTCAAATTAAAAGGAAGGACATTTATTAAACCAAAGGAAAGAGAAATGTAATTTTAAAAGGAAATCCATACTGAAAATATGAATACAAAATAGGAAACAAAATATATATGTGTATGTTGTCGTCTGAATAAAAATATATATATATATATATATATATATATATATATATATATATATATATATATATATATATATATATATATAAATTATTAACTTTATTATTTTTTTGTATAAAAATTGAGAAGGAAATAAATGTATAAATATCAATTTTGAATGTAAACAGGCAGATACTTAAAGAAAAAACGACATATGTTAGAAATAAAAGAGAAATTTAAAAGGTTTATTATATATATATATATATATATATATATATAAATATGAATACAAATGCATTATATATATTTATATATATAAATAAAAATATATATGTATTCAAGGATATATATATATATATATATATATATATATATATAAAGAATATTTAAAGATATATATATATAAATATAAAATATATATATAAATATATAAATATATATATATATAAACGAATATAAATATATATATATATAGTATCATATATATATATATATGAATATACATATATAATATATAATATATATATATAGAGAGAGAGAGATTTTCAGAGAGAGGAGAGAGAGAGAAAGAGAGAGAGAGAGAGAGCGAGATCATTGCAAAAGCATATATTAGATAATTAAAAACGAAAATTTTATCCACATTTTTTAAAAAAAAATCTATTAGTCAACTAGATAATCGCCATTGTTTTTTTTTAAATTGTCTGAGCACGTTTGACAATTCTAAATGATGACATTTTCGGGTGGTGTTTTTTGTTGCAAGTATAGTCGTGTAGTAGTTTTTCGACTGAATTTAGAGTCGAATTTTTGTTATTTAAATTGTTCTGTCGATTACAAAATTGAGATGAAATTTCAGAAGGGTCGAGAATTTTACGATATATGCTAAGGTGGGGTCCAATATAAAATGTTTAAGATTCTGTAAGGACTGGTTTTGTCATGGTGTAAATAGACACCTTTCAGATTTGACAAAATTTTATTTTTCTTGACTCAAGTCTCTTCAAATGATGAAAATGGTGAGATACCGATTTTTATCACTCACTTCCTTCGAAATCTTCGTTTTATTCTGCCCTATGACAAACGTTGCCTGGATTGTAATTTAATCGTTCAGATGATAATCACCCTGAGGAAATCAGCCAAAACAAGTTTTTGATCATCCAAAGAAAACTTCTGTATGATTTTTTTTCTGTCGCATATCCGAGGCGTAACTTCTCTTTCCGTAATTAATTGAACCTAATATGGCGACAGTGCAAATTTTTATCTTCCATCTTTAAGACATTAATTTCTGAACAAAAAATGGTAACCAGAAAAGAAAAAAAACAAAGAATCAGTGTCATGTTGAGGAAAAGAATTTAACAATTAAAATCGGACAGGAGTGATCTGATACTGAATTGAAAATTTTTTGTCCATTTTTAAAAAATATTTTCTAACAAATAGATGACATCTTATTTCAGATTTAATGAAGAAAGGGAAAGAAAAATTTTTAAATTTTAAATATTTCTTTAAAAATAAAGAATACATTCGCCATACTTTACGAAATTCACAGATGAAATTATATAAATACAAAACATAGAATTTATCAAAAGTATAAAAAAGTTTTGTAAATACATTTTCAAGCCAAAGGATATTGTAACTTCCTCGACAAAGTGAACTATTTGCTATCATAGAAAAGGAAGATAAATGGCGAAAATGGCAAAAATAAAACAAAAAAATTTGAAATTGGGTTCCACATCATCTGATACAGAGATTTGATTGGTTCGTTTATTACAGGTTATCAACCTTTTTCATGTTATTTAAAGCCAGAAAATATTTTTATATTGAAAGACTTTTTTTTATATAATAATGATTTAGTGATAAATATAAATACTATTGAACCCATAAAGAGAAGAAGGGTTTAAAGACCATCCTCAATGATATCATTCGATAGAGGAATATAACGAAACCAATTGAAATTAGAACTCGTCTCTCCAATCAAAAATTCAGTGTCATTACCCATTAAACTTATCGCTCCTGATATTCCCAGGTGATGACAACAGAGAATGGCCAACAAAGTGTTGATTATTGTACATCATTGCATTCGGCTTTATCTAGAATAATTTTAAAAAAAATGATTACCTGATTTTTGAGATTAAAATTGTGGATGATTTTATATATATATTAAATATATATATATCAGTGGCTTATATATATAGATAAATTACTAGGCAGCAAAGAGCTTAATATAAAAAATAAATATATATATTATGAATAATATATATTGATATATCTACTTATTTCTGGTCAAAAATTTCCCAATTTAATAAACACAACAAATAGCCTGTTTCAAAATGGGAGAATATATAAAAAAATATTTGCTAAAGTGATTATTAAATACATCTCTATTAAACACTATTTTGTTTTATTGCATCATTTTTTTCGAAGAAAATTGAGCAGAACTATATATATATATATATATATATATATATTTAAAACAACATGCATGAACGCGGACTCACGTCCGGAAAATCCTTATTGAAAACACAACTATACTATATAAAACAATAAATAAAAAAATAAAAAAATTCTTTGTGTTTATATATAAAACAGTTGAAACCTTAACCTCTAAACATAAATAAACTATGAAATATATCCATTTAAATATACTTAAATGCCTATAATTTATAACAGAAGATATTGGTTTATACCAACGGCTTCCCATACTTAATACTTCTCGTTTTTACTCTCGCGTGGTCATGCGTGACGTCATGACCTGCGACGTGATTTTCGCTTCCGCGTCTCGTATATACGAGTTTGTCGTTACTAGGAAAGTTTCATGCAGCAAGGGAGGACTATCATTGTTGGTTCGTCCGTTGTTGTTTGATATATCGAAATTGTCATCTTTGATAATGGCTTGTGTAAGTCGAAAACTTAGATTGAATTTAAACATATATCAATATGGTGATTTCTTTCGTATTTAAACGATAATGTGATTAAGCTTATCAGACAATATGAAAGGAACTTACTTAAAATAAATAGACAAAACTTTTCTATATTATTTAATGAAACATGCATTAATATATATATATATATATATATATATATATATATATATATAAAATATATATATATATATATATATATATATATATATATATGTATAGAAATCCAATGAAACTTAGTCGCACAACCAATTTGTCTATACACGTATATATATATATATATATATATATATATATATATATATATATACGCGTATCTATGTTTGTGTGCGGCTAAAGTTTCACTAAATCCTTAGATTGTCGGGCACAAGATATTCTGAAAATATATGTACTAATTAATATATATCTTTGCTCTGTATGAGCATATCGAGAACTATTATGTTTACACTTCATGTATAAATTTGAAGATTATTTGCTTGCCAACGTATGCACACCAACACGAGTGTATACCCTTCCTTATATCTAGCCGTTTGATTTATCAATCTTATATATATATATATATATATATATATATATATATATATATATTCATAAATCAGCATGGTTGATGCCAACACCTAGGTGTGTGGCTCTTTGAGTCATCACGGGATAACGTTCTCGGATGTCATGAAGCAGAAACACTATAGTGAATGCATTGCTAGGTCAACTGTTTATTAGAAAGTTAGTTCACTGTGTCATGTTAGACAATTTTTCTCTCCAGCGTCTTTCTCTCAGTGTACCATTCGTCCATGCTTAGAAAAACTGATGCTACATATGGTCTGGTAGTCCCACCGTATATCTAGAGATGCTTGATAAGATCCAAAGAAGAATCAGCAATATTATTGGCCCTGATCTGAAGACATGGTTTGCGTCACTTTCCCATCGTCTCCCTGTTTCTTTTCTATAATTAATTCCATGGCTACTGTTCGGATGAGCTCTTCGCCAGGATACCTACCCTTTATGAATCTAAGCGCAATATTAGACTGGGGTCGAAGTCTCACCAATGTACTGTTTAGTCGGCTAAATTTAAATTTGTAGAATTCTCTTCCGGCTCCGTGCTTTCCAGGTAACTCAGATCTTCAAAGATGTAAATACAATGTCAATCGCTATCTACTGTCGTCTTGATTACTCTTCTATTTTTCTCTCTCCTTAATCTTTCATATTTTATTATTCTTTCACACTCAGTAACCCTTTGTGTCTTAGTGGCTTTACAGCCTTGCTTGGGGTAAATTCGATAAAAAAGAATATATATGCATATATATGAGTTCGTTTTTCTCACTGGTTGAATTGCCAGGCAGGTAAGTTCTTGATATTATCGACCAGCTCAGCGTGCTTTGGTAAATGCCTGAAGCCCATTCCACTGGTCGACCCAAACCTTGTCAATGAAATTGGGTAGACGGAACTGTCAATGTTTGTGCTAACATAAAGGGGTTTCGATTGGCCTTGTTCAAACAATTGATCACACCAGATGATACTTTCTCTCCCCAAATTGCAACATAGTTGCCGTGGGCTCTGTGAATTTTGGACTGAGCAAGCATTTACAACAGGGATTATTTAGTGTCCCTAGCAGAATGGCATATTATTTGTTTTTTTTTTTAAGTAATTGTATAACGAGCGATAAATATATAATTTCTGATAAAAACATAGATGAGATCGATTTTAGTTCGTGTTTGAGAGTACGACCTTGCGTATTTTTCAGCTAGGAAGCATTTATGGCATGAGCCATAACTGATAGCCATGATATACATATATATCAACCGTATTTTTCAGTTTGAAAGCATTTCTAGCATGTTCTAAAACTGATATACAAAATAGACGGATATACCATCCATATAATATATAAGGTTGAGTAAAGAATAATTGACGATTTCGTTTATTCACCAAAAAATAAAGTTACATTTTGAATTATATATTCGCCATTATTTTCAATGAACCCATTTCACTTGTGAGGCAGCTTTTCTTTTATTAACATTCTGTAGGTTATTACATGAAAAATGTTTCGACTAACTCTTGAATCTGGTTTTTATTATACAAAGTTTTACCTATTGAAATCCTTTTGCTGTGTTTCAAAACGTAATAAACATTTGCTGCAAGAGAAGGTGAATATGGCGGATAGGGTAAAGCAGATCATCTGAATTACAAAATATTTTACTCTGTTATTCTTAAATTATGCGGCTTTGGGTTGCCACGGAGGTGAAAAACATTATTTGGCTATTGACGAGATCAGGACATGTTGTTGCTGCTTGACGTATAAATGGACATTTAGTATTTCATAGCTTTTTAGGAACTCCAAATGAGCAATACCCCAACAATCCCACCACACGCGCAACATTTATTCCATGTAGCTAAGATTTGGGGGTCCGTTGTGAGGATATTTCCTTGTCAATACATTAACATTTGCGTTGAACAATGTCGTATGTTATTTTATTTCAAATTTACTCTTAAATGCAATGGTCAGATCTACAGCTCTAAAAATGCCTCTTTTTGCCATATTTTATCTTCAGAAGAGCTAGATTAGACCACAAACGGAATGTTGCTGCCATGCTGATCTGGAGCTTTATAATCTTCCCTTTCCAGGCTTGATAGAGTTGAAGATCGTTTATAAGATCTTGAGGGGAATTACTTTTTTTTTCCTTCCCCATCCAGTTATCCATATACGCACCCAAACCTATCGCTACTCTATTGATATTTCGATGGTAAAGGATCAAATGAATGCTTTTTCAATTATCAAATGAATTCAATTATCAAATGAATGCTTTTTTAATTACCCACCAGTTCAAACCATTACAGCTAACAATCTCCATGCTACTTCCACGGAGACGAATCACCCACATTTCTCCAGTATACCTTTTTACGGAGAACGTCACTCTCAGAAAATCTTTCCAAATAACTGCAACATAGTGGAACCAACTTCCCAGAGGAGGCTTCCTTGAACTCAGCAGTCTTAACCTATTCAAGTCAAGGGAGAATCGACTATTCACATAATCTTCACTTCTGTCTATCACTTTTGGCGGCATTTGGCACGTCATTCAGTGAATCCCTACGATGAGTCACTCTTGAGACTTGCATAAGGGGAAGTTTTGTATAAAAAAAAACAAGAACATATGATTAGTAGTTAGGATGATACGATTGTCATTAGAATTGGCCCCAAAACAGAAATTATGACTTAACCTAATGCATAAACATATATATATCTCAATTTACACACACATATATATATATATATATATATATATATATATATATATATATATATATATATATGTTTGTGTGTGTGTGTGTGTGTGTGTGTGTGTGTATCAATCAACCAAGATAGACTGATAGATAAATATATAGACCGTTTAAAACAGAACAATAGATAGATATGAACAGAATGATAGATATGAACGGATAGATAGTGAGATTGGAAAAGATTAGGATAGATAGGTTTGGTTTTGAAGTGCTGAATACAGAGACCTGGTGCACAAGGTCCCCATACGACCCTCCG